CGACTTAAAAGAAACGACAATCAATCAAACACGTGTTAGCGCGTGAAATGAGCTTTCCAAAAAGGTATCGCCATGACCCGATGCGACGAATAAAACTAGAACTACGCGCTCTCAGCGCCAACTAGCGAAAATACCGCAAGACTTTTGACAACCTAATATAATCAGTAAAATATAAACATTGTTTTTTTTTTTTTAATTTTTTTAAGGCGTTTGTAAGTGCAAAAAAAGTCTTAAGGAATTAATAATAACGATTTTATTTGTAGGTGTCGGGAACACGGGAGGAAAAAATTTAAATATTGCTAAAATAAGCGATAGCGRCATGAGTGTTATTAACGTAACCGTATTTCCAGGTAAACTGTGCATAATAATTGCAAAAAAATAGAATTATCTGACTCAATACGATAAGTCACGATATGTGGAATTTGCAAGATTTGCTTTAGTAATATGTATTTTTTATAGGCAAAATTGCAATTTTTAAAAAATAACGTGATTAGAATAAGTTTTGTTTTACCAGTACCACCGTGACTGAGACACCATTGCAATTACAAATTTGCTCGTGCCAACCAAAATCTGGTTAAATGGTGGGCATAAAAATTATTAAGCCAACGTTTCTTTAAGTTCTGGAAGTGTAAAAAGAAAACGCTTGGGCTTTTTTTTTTCAAAACTTTTAATGTCATTGTTTCGAAACTTAATCTTTTATCTCCATTTAATTCCATAATAGCATTAATTGTTCCTTTTCTTTAGGGTCAATTTAACTAATTATTTAACACAAAAATGAGTGCATATGAACCGTGATTCCGTGGTGATACACGGCGACAATCAGCGCCTGAAAGTGTTTTCCCAACATCAAGCAGGAAAAAACACACGCGTCAGACTAAACACGCATTTCAACACCGATAGCATTAATTTCTGTGACGTAGAACAACAAAGACGACGACGCACGAGGGGTACACCTGAATGGCTCCGTGTGTACATATATGCGAGCAGTCGGAAACATCAAGAATAAACGCGTGCACCATTTTGATGCCTTCTGKTCCCGCAGCAAACACACATCGTAATCTGTGAAAATAAATGTTTAGGCATCCAAGTAAATATATTTATTTTGAAAGTCTTAGGTGGGCTCAGGCTCATTAACTTTCCTGCTCTCCACTTTTTGTTGTTAAAATAAAGTTATGAGTAACAGATGGACTACATAAGCTGCCTTTCGGGTGCTTAGAGAACGAAACATGGCACCGATTAGGAATTTATGTCGAAGATATTATATTAAAATAAATGTAGGAATAAGAAGCGCCATGACTTCCGCTTTATGTCTCCTAAGCAAACTCTCACTCGCACAATTCATTGTTTATGGGCTTGCCCCTAAATTCAAAATTATATACAAACACACGCACWAACTATATCAAAGTTCTCATTTTGTATTATTTTTTTGGTTCCCGCACCCTTAATCTACACAAAAACAAATTAATAAAGTTTTCTCCTGTTTGCACGAATTTATCCCCTAAAAATATTTTCTCACTGATARTGATTAACTTTTTAGCTTGTGTTTCTTTGCCGGTTTGTTTGCCAAATAGATCACGATGCCGCTTATCCTTTGGGCGAGTTTATTTTGCGTTTTAGGAACTTGTTTTAATAGGCTTTTCTTTGTTGACGCAGCGACTCGGCCATCCCTRCTGGCACGGGTGGCTCGGCTTCACTGTAAGCGAATTGCAAATGCAAATTGGGTTCAACAATTTGTGTAAGTAAATTTGTTTTTGTTGGAATCCTATTAATGAAGGTGCGGTAGAAGCCAAATTGTAAAAAAAATGTATTTTCATTAAGATTGGAAGTGCTGGCGGTAATTGGAAGCTGCCCAGATACACTTGTTGTTATCCAAGATTTATCTCAAAGTTTTTTTGTTCGCTGTCTTATCTGCAACACTGCTTTCGGTATTGAAGGAGGTGCTTAGAGCGCAAAGAAATCAGGTCGCCGTAAAGTTTTTAACTCAATTTGATTCGAGTTGTCTTGGGAGTAAATGTCAACGTTTCTGCCTCCCCTGCTGTATGCAGCGCCACTGTGTGAAAGTGTGAAAACTGATTTAATTTAATTTTAATATGTCTCTAGGGCCTTATCTATTTACATACATATACATACACACATACACTAACTCTGTTTTGCTCGAAAATTACCTGTGAACGTGCGTGAGCCGTCAAAACGTCAACATAATTTATGCGAACGCACATACATATGTACACCTACATATATGTATGTATGTGTATAATGTATTATATACGTTCATGCAAATGTAGACATGTGTGGTATTATTAAATACACAAGCTTAGTTTATTAAACAGAAACGACGCTAAAAAGCATGGCTTCCGTCGTAATTTACAGGTGACCATTTCCATCAGCGATATACCCTTGCTTGTATGTATGTATGTCAGTGTCTCATCTCCGCAGTGTTAAGTGCCAATTGTTGCAAGCAATTTATATAATTAACTGTTTCAGCCCCTCAAAGGTTTTGTGCGTTGTTGTTTTTCATCGTCATGTTCGTGGGGCCTTTCGTGTCACTTTGACACGTTAATTAAGTTTTGATACTTAATATTTCAAATACTCAGATTTCGGTTGGTTTGTGATTCTCTTTCACTTCATGTTCTATTATTAGAATGGGTTATTTAGTGTGTTTAGTACATGAACCTCTCCTTGATACGAACCCATATTTCTGGTCAGTTAAGCACAAAAATAGCTGTGGTGGATCTCCGTACTTTTTCTTTGACTTCCATTCGCTCACACACTTTAAACTAGAATAGCACAAATCTAATTAAATGCAAATTTTCGCATTATTGCGGTTTCTTTGCGGCGGCTTTCTATCTTGACCGTGGTGTTTCGGCCACGGATTTATAATAACGCATGGATTCAAATATCAGTTTCTGGYTTTTGATGTCTTTTGTTGACTAGAAGCTGAATTGGGCATTGATAAATCGTTAATTCATGCGAATTTTGACAAAGGGTTGTCTTTCTAAGAACATTTTAAAAAATAAATTGTTCTCAAGCACAAAGATGTCAATGTGGTGGTTGTGGCCTATAATAGTATCTTATTCATTGTTATTTTGTGTATCTTTTTCCGAAAAAAATATATTGTCACCAATAAAATTACTACCGAAGACGGAATAGCTAACAGAGATTTTTGGAGACACCACAGTATACAAATCTGTAATGCTAGACATTTTTTTAAAATATAATATACCATTTTGTTCATATTCTCAAATTTCAAAAGATGAAGATATCGAAAAAGCAAGAAGAGCATTTATCTGCGAATCCTTTTCTGAAGAAGAATTACACAAGAGGCAGGACAAATTATTTATTCTCAAAAGTTTTGAAGTGTAAGTTGTGAAAAGACCTTTTCTATCGCTATTAACCTAATTGCCTGTGAGGAATAGTTTATAATTGCATACTTATATAATTGAAGACCTGCCATACAATTTTAGAAAATTGCTTGGAAATCAATTCAAGGCTCCTGAATTATATATTTGAAAACCACTTCGGTGCAGTTCGGATTATCAAACAATTAAGGAGCAGTAAATTGTTTCAAACAATTACTTACCGGTAAGACAACCTGTTTACGTCAAACGAAACAGGTGTCTGTATGCATRCACCTCAGATATTACTAGAGATGAGCGATATTGCGACTTTTCAATATCTGTGATTTCAGTGATTGCTATTTTTCACTTCAAACTCCAAAAATCTGCTATACTTCACTTCTTTTCCTGATACATTTCCAGCCATTATGTAAAAATTATAAGAACGTTAAACTTAAAACTTCAAACCGCTATGACGAAAAATAGCATATACGCATATGTATATATGTACAATACCCTGAAGAAAGCTGCTAATTTTCTGCTATTTGCTATTGTGATCRCATGTGCTGTTATTGATTAAATTTCACATATTTTATTGGTTTATCTTTTGCAGACAATTTCATTACAACAACGTAATTTCAAGCAAAAAATTGTCGCTTTGCTGAAACGTTTCAAAGCCTCCGARGAGTTGGAGGGTGAGGTGAGCCGTGGCACCGCAGCTCTTCGTGGCGAACGCGATTTGGACGCACTCTTCCAGGAGCTCGAATCACTGTCATGCTGCGAGGGCGACGATTCTGGTCCCGACATGGAYAGCTTGTCCATTGGGTCGACACCGAAACCTTCGCTACGCCCATTCTTTACCAATTCGCGGATCATGTTGCACGACAATAGCGCCGGTGGTGGTAAGTTGTTAAATACTGGAATGTGAATTGCAWTCAACTAATTCGTTATGGTGAATGGATGAACTCTTGTATCGACTTGAGGATGTGTATTTCTTTGTTATAGGAACATATACATATATAAACATATTCGAAAGTTTATTATTTAAAATATGTGTACTCAGATTTAAAATTATTTGAAGTATTTCTGAAGCAATTTTAATTTATACTTAGTTCCTTTAGTTAACATTCATTCTACATTTTTGGTAGGTCTGATTTTGTAATTTTGCTTTGAAGTCGGCGTTAGAGAGGTTTRCGGCTTTCATTATCATAGAAATGCCCATATAGCTCTAAAATTCAAACATATTTCCGTATCTATTTCATACATAACGGTTTTTAGTTCAAGTGTCTATGGGAATTTTCAAAAGTCATTAATTTTGTTCTAATTACTTAAGAAGGCTGGCTGCCTCCCCACAGACTCACTTGTTTGCTTGCAAGTTTTTCCTACCCATCTGTACAACAACTAGGCGCGGGGCTAAGCATCAGCTCGCCACAGGGGTCCGACAGCCGTTCTTGAATGTCTTGCATATATAAACCTTGACAAAATCTCTTCAAGATTAAATGTTTTGCTTAGTTTTCATTAAGAAATGCGAAAATTTACTCATTTTAAAAGAGCACTTAGCAGTATATGTAATGAAGACATCCTCCAAAAATATTAAATTCTTCGATTTACACATTTCGGGAAATTTGTCAATACTATTATAAAATAAAAAAAATAAAAAATACAAAGTAGACAATCATTCACTTTCTACTCGTGTCCGTCACCATCGATCAATCTTTCGGTAGCTTTATTTTTCTCTGAAGACACAGCTGTTGCCGAATTTATAAATAAGTTAAACGAAAAGTGGACCATGCTGCTTGGTTCAACTGCAAACGACTTACTTTAGGCGACAACTTAATTCCACTCACCACTACAGAAACAAATTATCGCCAAGTGACCTCTAGCCTCAGGGTTGAATGCTGTTGCTACTGGCGGGCAAGTGTCGTAGAAGGGCATAAAAATGATGAAGGTTGCCTTGGCGCAAGATGAAGGGCCAAACAGCTTCGTCCTTATTCCAATGCAGACAATTACAATGCCCGACAAATGGCAGTATTGCGCAAGGATGAAATTAGCAAGGCCGGATGGCACAACATGTACATATGTATGTATATAGCTGCGCAAAGCGATTTCGGTTTTCTAACGCAGAACTAATAGTTAAAGTAAAAATAAGAAGAAGAGTGCCATTTCGGTGGCTGC